TATTGTTGAGCAGGTAGATAATATGGTGTGGCTTGAGGTGGGGCTGGGGAGGACAAGGGAGGACAGTTTCATTATTTTAATAAATTCTGGTGGGCGCAAACGCTGTAGGATACGATGAACTCCCCTGAACTGATGCTTCTGCCATAGAACCGTTTGATTTTGCAAAAATACCAATATCACTTAACACAAAATCACTGCTTAGGGTAAATTCACTCTACCTACTGTTCTCATAGGGACATTTGCTGGAAAATTCTAAGAAATGATTTGCAGAAGCGATCAGCTGTGGGAGTTCACTATTATACCTCTGTCAACTTCATTCAATATAATTTACATTTTTTTTTTTTTTTTTTTTTTTTTTTTAATACTGCCTTGCAGGATGCCTTGCCATTTTTTTTGCACGTACAATTTCACGGCAGGAATACAAAAAAAAAAAAAAATAAAAAAAAATGCTAACCCACTTTTGCAGAGAAGAAAGAACAGATGCTTAAAAATAGATTTCCAGAAATCACTGTAAGCCTGAGCCAGAAATGTAATTAACACCTATTTATAAAGAATAATTAAAGTTGTGACTACCACAAAGAACAGCAAAGATAATCGAGGTAGCCCCTGGTTTTTTGTGGGTTTTTTTTTTTTTTGGCTTTTTTTTCTTTCTTTTTTTTTTTTACACTGTTTGCAGTATTCCCACATGATTGCCACCTGCTCCCCCACTCAGCTTCCCCTATGCTCGTTTCCCCGGCAACCTTTCATTGGCTTTTCCTCCCAGCTATCGCTTTCAGTTCGGCTGCTCAGTCTAATCTTATTTGTTTTACACCCATCAAAACAAGCAGCTAGACAAAGACAATCCTATAAGAATGGAAAAGACCGTAGCTTTGTTTCCCAGTTATAATAAATATCCACAGTGAAAGTCTGTAAAACGTTCAATTGAAAGAAAACTAGCAGGGGTGATATGAATTTTGAAGATTTTTCTTCTCCCTCCCCGCCCCCCCGCCCCTGGATTGCACTGTTCTGTAAAATTCAAAGTCGGCAATAGTTGGATTTGATCATGCCATTTTGCACAATCTGTAAGGAAAACATAAAGGAGGAATAAGCCGAGTAGTTTCTGATTTCATTGCCAGAAGAATACGCTAAAAATAGAAATACTATTTTCACAGAAATGGCTTTGATTTCCATCAGCATTAAAAAAAAAAAAAAAAAAGCGCACACCCTTCTGCTTCACTCTTGCACTAGCTTAAAGGAAACAATGCTTGATTTTTAGATGCAATGATTTCATGAACCCCTCGTAGAGCACAAATGCGAATGAAAAGGCATCGCCTGCTGCCTGAGCCGATGGGCACACAGCACAATGACATTGTGACTGTCAGCAGAGACCATCCTTGCTAGACTGAAATGCAATGTTCAATGGAAACAGTGTGAAGTGCCATCACACTAAGGTATATTAAATGCATGCACACACACACACACACACACACACACACACGTACGCATCCTCCTAAAAATAAACAAAGATCTGGGATTTTATTCCCAACTCCCGAGCTACGATGCTACACAAAAGACATGCACAAGGCACGCAAACGGTACGAAATCTGCAACCAGCTCTCAGCGTTCACTTACCATTTTCAAGCCATTCCACTCCATCTGTGATTACAAAGATGGACCCCTACAGCCCCTCACGGTGTCAAAAGCAAAAAGAGCGTTATGTAAAAGCTGACATTCCTTCTTACAGTACGGCTGCCCAACGATGCAACAAAAATCGACATATACTAGGCGCTGCAACACATACAAGCCTCCTCCTCTTTTTATGAGGTCATGACAGGAAACTCTTTGAAATACAATATGCAGCATTTACTGAAGCTCATATAAATCACTCTCTTAAAAATTACCATACCTATTGCGCAGTCCACCAAAACAAAATTACCAGTCTTGAGGCTTTTTTCCAAGGACTCTGCTCTGCATTTGTATTTCCAACATGCCAAGGTGGAAATTAACTGTACACCCCCCCCCCTTGCACACGCACACACACACACCCCACTGAAGCCTCTTTTTTCCTTTAGCATTTCACAGTTAGCCACACACAGCCGTGCATTAGAAACGAGCCTTTTCTTTATTCGGAGAGAAATCGCAATTACCTTACAATGACAAAGTATGTCCTTTATTAAAGGATATGCAGGCAATAGAGACGAGAGAGACAGACAGACAGACAGAGAGAAGAAAAATGTAGAAACAAACCAGTCGCAGCAAGCTAAACTCATGTGAAAACAGATAATGAGGCAGATTGGGGGAAAACTATATATCTACATCTCTATATATATATATATATATAAAACTGCTATAATCATATTTGAAATCTACTAATACCTACCATAACCATTCTTAATAGCAAATATTGGGTCTTGAAAGGCTTCAACTCTTCTAAAGATTTGCTAAGGTTTCAGGGATTTATTTATTTTTTTAAAAAGATCCACAAAGCACAGTGCGGACGTTTGTGCGGCAAAAGAATAAAAAAAAAAGAAAGAAAAAGCGCACTGTGCTGAAGCCCCCCGATTCGAGGATGTAGATAAGAACAACTGAACACAGCCTTGCTGAAATTGGCTTGCAGCTTCTCCTTTTTACATCCATTTATGGGACCATCTGTCAGCTGAAGCCAGAATCTGATTGGCTGGGGAAACTAAAGGAGGCGTTGCAACATCAGGTGCTATTGAAATTAGCTAGTGCCAGATTGACAATGTTAATGATTTGGTGACCTCTACAACAACAGAGACCAGATTTCTGAACTGCTGCTTGTGTCTAGTAATTAAGGCCCAGTTGAAGAAACAACATACATACATGTATTTTTACCTCTTCCCCAGCCCACAAGTACAGTAGCACTTGCAGGCCACATCTCCGGTTTATAAACCTCCGCCGTGGAGGTGTCATACCTCAGCCATGCTTCAATGACTACATCTTCTTACCTCTTGCATGTGTGGCTTTGAGGTCTAGAGTATTTTAACCACCTTATCTTTCTCGACAGTTGCTTTCCGGAGAATTGCATATTTAATGATCTGCCTCTAGGCTTAAAGATATGACAAAAGCACTTTAATGTGCATTTTAACTGCATTTATTCTCAGGTACTATTGGTTTTAATAATCAAAAAAATTTTTTTTTCTTTTAGCAGGAAGATTTTTTAAATGCATACATTTTAAAAAGTAGGTTTGACGTTGCTGTCACTTAACGGTGTCGCTAAAATATACCGGGCATTATTTATCAGAGCATTTAAAGCACAATAAAGGTATTTTATCCTTTTCCAGCTACCTCACTTCATTACTCTTCAGATTTACGAAAAAGAGAATTATAAACGTTTGGTGTTTATAACTCTACAGGAAACACGCATCCTTTTCTTGTTCTGAGAAAGCAACACAACTCCAATGATAAACAAGAACAGTTCACTAATAGGCAACTCGGGGGGATTTTTTTTTTTTTTGGGAGGGGGGAAATGTCATTAATTAGGAAATATTTATTTTTCTCTTCTTCCTCAAGAAAACCACTTAAGGACTTTTTTTTTAATACCTAGGATCCAATATAATAAGGCATGGTGTGCTGTATTTGCAGCTAACCTCAAATTAAAATTTACCTAGTCTAAACCTACCAACTTTTATTCTTTGCAACCCTGGGAATTTAACCGTTTTGTTTTATCACCGAGGTCTCGGGTAAAAGAAAATATTTTAAAAAGCTCTAGTGTAATGTAAGCATTTCTAGTGTGCAACAGAAAAAAAAAACGGAAAACCTGCGGAGAACACTAGCATGGGCCATGGCATATGCTCACCTAGGTCTTCTCTGCAGAAACAAAACCTGGTTTTCAAATATTATAAACGTTCCCAAATATCTACTCACTGATTTTAGGAAAGGCCTTTTTAAATGCAAATATTAACTCAGGTTTGTTAATCTTGCAAACGACACTGCACACGTTGCAAAATTTCTTTAAAGCACAGACGCATGCACAGAAAAAATACACAGCTTATACCAGTGACTGGAGGAAATATATTAAGCTTTAAAATGTAGATATAAATAACTCAAACAAGCAGAAAAAAAACCTCATTTAAAAGAAATCAAACCCTTCTACTCATGGAGTAAAACACTGAATTCAATCTAAATCTATTATGAACAATTCAAATGGCTGCAGAGGATTTCTCTCACCACCCAATAGTTTTTAAAATATGTGTTGCTTTGTAAAAGCTAGCAAAGATTAAAATGGTTTGTAGGATGGGCTCCCTAACTCGCCCTATGCAACTCAAACACCAACTGAACTACTAGGGTGAATTCACCAGCATCAAAATGCTGCATAGCTACTATATTACCATATAGTCTAGTGGAAAAATAAAACACCCCATTGAATATTAAACTTTAATTTGTAATGCAAATTTTTACTTAAGGTTTCTTCAAGGGTTAGTGAAAATGAACAAGGGTTAAAGAAATCTTTTTTTTTTTTCTTTTCAACTTCAACGCACTTTGTTAGCTATAAATTAATGTCATGCATGTCAAAAGATTCAGCCATTTTTTAAAAATGATAATTGCACATTGTAGTCCTGAACAATTCGCTGTTTTGCCAATTTAAAAATCCATGTACTTTGTATATTGATCACTTATCCAAAAGAGGGGGGGAAAAAAAAAAGACACATGCTAAATCTTTCAGAGGAATCCTAAAACCAAATGCACAAATGTCCTCAGAGGCCTCTCTCTAAAGACAAAGGCAGAATCCTATTGTTGAAAAAGTCAACCTTATTATCGGGTTTCCAATAGTACCATTCATCTTTCGGTGCAAGTGGCTGACCACCGCATCACAGTTGTGACACATTTGTAAAGCATCAAATTCTCAATCTCGGCTCTCCAGAATCAGCCAGGCAGCCTCTGAGCAAAGCGATATTTTAATGCAAGCCTCCATCCCCACAAAAAGAAACTTGTCTCAAACAGCTAATCCAATATCAAAATGAAATCACAGGATTGTTTGTCCCCCTCTCTCTCCTTACCATAAATGAGCAGTTTCTTGACTCATTAATGACAGTTTCCCTTAAAAGAAGTGATCTCATATCACTCAGCCCCTCTCCACCATGCATACATCCCAAAGGTTGCGGGTATCTTAGCATCAGTAGCCGCTAGCAAGCTCTCTCGTACAGAGCCCAGATGGACTATACCAGAAGCCAATTCAGCGTTAATAACTACCTACTCTGTGCAGTTTAGAAGCCTTACGTGGCATCATGTCCTAGGCAACAGCAGCCGATTGAAACCACAAATAAAAAGACAACCCAATTCTCCAAAAGCATCGAAAGGGAAAAAAAAAAAAAAAGAAAAAGAAAAAAAGCAAAAAAAAAAAAAATTGAAGAATGATTTTTTTCATCATCTCTGACTTTCCTAAGATTACACGGAATCCTTCCCAAACATATGAAAAAAGGAGAAAAAACCCCCCCAAAAAACAGATGCTGCCCAGAAAAAAAAAAAAAAAGTCACAAAATATTACCTCATTATTTAACAAAGCAGCATTAAGCGTCCTGCTGATTTCAAACATCTTGCCACAGATTTGGGTTTAAGAGCAACAGAAAGAATCCTTTGCAAGCCCTCTGTCTGCAAAGGGTTCTTCAATTTTCCTGCGCACAACAGAATAGTCAATATGTTATTTCCCTAGAGTTCGCACATTAAAACATCTAGGCAGTGAGCTGAATTTCCCCCTTATCACACACACAGTAGACTCCCGTTATATGTACTGCTCTCTTTGCAAGATTAGCCTGCCCCAAACATGGCTGTTGTTTAAACTATTCTTTAAAGTAACAGTTCACTCCATAGCCACCAGGTGGGCAGTGTGCACGACTCAAGTAACCATCTTAAAAGATTTTTCTTGGAATCGCTTTCGGTTGTGATCCAGAACAGAAAGAGCCCATGGTTTTGCAAGTAAAAATGAATTTTTGCATTGTTTTCAGTCCCCGCCTCCTCCCCTGAGAAAGCCAACAAAACCCCGACAAACCCCACAACTCGCAGCAGAGAATTTTTTTTTTTTTTTTTTTAAATCTTAATCATGGATCTAAAAAATTACACATAAGCCTATCAATGAGCAAAAATGAACTTAATCAGTGCAGAGGCTGAAACAGAATTAAAGGAACAATATTGGTGCAAATGGTCTACCGGTCCAAAGAAAAAGGGATGTAGGCTATATCGCATATAGGATGATAAACTGGTTCAAGAAAACACAAGCACAATATTCAGTAGAGATTATTAATAAGGAGGAAGGGGTCTGCTCGCAAACAAACTGCAACTTCCCTGGGTGAAATGCAAGATTAGTTACCAAAATAGTGTTATGATCAACAAAGTGATGCCTTGTGCTTGTGTTGATTTTTGATATTTTTGGTCTAGGCTTGGGCTTTGATGGTTTATAACAGTCTCAGTTTTCTGGAATAACGCAACTAAGGAAAACTCGTTGGAAATTGCTTATCCAACCTTTCCTATCACTCTATACATTATGTAGAAATGTCTTCTCTTTTACTTTAGATCACTGCAGTAAAGAATATGTCTACCACCACGCAAAGTGACTGCATTCACTAGCAGTATCCAAAAGCCCAAAACAGACCCAGGCTCCGCTGCGCCAGGCGCTGTACAGACACATAATAAAGACTTTCTCCTGCTCTGACGAGCTCGCAACTACCATTTTAACGTTTAAACCACAAAGCAGTAGTGTGCGGGAGAACGAAAGACAGACAAAAAACACAAAAAATCTTATTATCGCGGGCGAGAGTGAATCCTACTGAAATCTATGGACGTTTGCAACCAGTTCAGTGACAGCAGGACCCAGAAAGGTTCTGCATAGGGGTAAAGGTCACGTTATTTTATTTCTTTAAAAACACCTAACTATAAGGTTACGGTCACATTATTTTATTTCTTTTTAAAAACCTAACTATAACCATGTGTATTTATTGGAACAATCAGGCATTTTTCATATATCGGTATCTACATGAAGATTTTAAAAAACAGAGTTAAGGCAATGCTTATGCCCCATAGTACTCCTCACCTCCCACCTTGGGCCTTTAAGTAATGTTAGGTGCTGACTTATAATATTAGGTGCTGACTTACAACATAACCTCCTTGAATATATTAAGTTTCAAGCCACTCCTCCTTATATGGGAGAAAGGTTATTTGCAGCAATTTCTGGTTGTATGAAATAAGCTTATTTTCTCACTCACCATATGTCTTGAGCACTAATTAAAAGTGTCACTTTCTCTAACATTAAAACGTAATCATTTAGTAAATAAAATATTCTTAGCTTGCTGGTCTTGGTGAGAATCTATTTTCAGGGTATTTTACTTCCAGGTAACCTCAGGTTTTTGATTACCACCATTCCTCTGATTTAAAGAGAAATATTTAAATTAAAAAAAAAACAGGGAAAAAGAAAAAAAAACCCATGAAGCACATTTTTAAGGACCCATACTCCTGTTACCCTGAGGCAAATTCAACCAATCAATATGAAACCATTGACGTGCCACCATCTGCCAAGCTGCAGAGCAATGTGGTTGGAACAGACCTCTTATAAAGCAGCAGTAGTCTCATTTTCAGTCTATTAGGAAAGCACCAGAGCTTTCATGTGCAAGGACACAAAACTCTAACTCAGACCTTTTTCACACCAGTTTCTCAGTGCACTGCTGCAGAGCTCTATCATTTATGCTGTTTGAGTTTTCACACTAATCATCAAAGCAAGGGGGGGGGGGAAATCAGGAACAGTCCTATTCCACTACAGTATAAAATAAAGAATTCAGTTTAATTCTACCCTAATATGATTATAGCAAGCCACTTAGATGCTGCTGCCTGTGAACTACAACCTGACATTTTCTTCCACCTCATTTTCCTTTTCCATTCTTTCACAGGGGACCAAGCAAATGAGTAGAAAAGCAGATTAAAAAAAAAAAAAAGATGTTTCTTTTATCACTAAATAAAATTAAGATACATTTTAGGACCAAACAGTATTTGTTGTTTGTTGGAACAAAGTAAGGAGGTGGAGGAGAGAGACATATAGGTGGGCTTGAAGTACAGCGCCAATGAACACCAAACAATGGAGAAGAGAAAGGGTTCACACAATGCAAACACTAAGATTTGCCTTGTGCGGTAATTCAAAAATACAGCATCTATGCAATATAGCATCTAAGGAAAGATGTCACATGCCCCTGCCAACTGTAATACCCAGGACTAGGGACAGCGCTCTCCATCTGGGAACCTCTAAACATTTTTTTAACAGGGGTCAGCATTCGCTTCAGCTGCCTTCCCAGAAAACTTATGAGAATTCAACTGAAAAAAAAACCTAACCCAACATAACAGAGGCAAACTTAACATGAAGGGGATGAAAAGTTAAACGATGTAAATATGTGCATGCAAAGAGAGACAAGAGAACCTGATTATTTACAAGTCAGCTGAAAGTTCGGAGAAAGTTTGAAAAAGTTGAACGTGTAAAATAGAGACGTTGAAACGTATCACACTAGATGTACAACCTGGAAGCTCCCGGTAACATTTTGGGGACATTCGCATATACGACAGAACCTGGAATAGCCATCCATCCAGTAAGAAATAAAAACTTGCAAGTGTGAATTCAGAGAGAAAATGAAGAACACAACATCAGATAATCCTGATAAAATAATCAATAGAGGAGTTTTTTTTAAAGGTAAATATACCCAACAGCAGCATTTTAAGACTCCCTTATCTAAACAACTTGCTTCACACTCCAGCGCTGTAATAAGATGCTATAGTTTATTCAACCAACGGCTGGTTTAAATAAGTAACCGGTCACCTTCTGAAATCAAACAGGAAGGACAATCAAAAGCTGTGCCTGGGGTAATGCCAATGTGATTTTCAGGAAAGTTGTTCTCTAAAGCTAACAGGAGATTGAGACTTTCAAGGACGCTCCGTCATCGATGAAGTTATAAAACCAAACCCACCCCCCAAAACCCGAAAACACGTCAAGGTTTCTAGAACGATTCAAGAGAATTTGAATCTTGATTTCAGCTCAAAAAAAAAAACAACCGAAGATGGGAAATAAGGATATGAAGTGGGCTGGGGCTTTGCGTGGTTTTTTATTTGCATGCACAAGAGCCCAGCTTCTCATTGTCCCCCTGGTCGTGTGGACCCCGCTGTGCTAGTGACAGAGGTGAACTGTGATTTCTCTCGGTGCTAGGGGCATGCAATCCCGTGACTGTCCCTGGAAATCCTGTCACTTTGCTGATCTGTACCCATAAAGGAAAAATAAATGTTGCCAGCAGACAAAGATTCAGAATGAACCAAAAAAAACAGAAAACAAAGCAAAACAGCACAGTGACAAAAATCAACCCACCTAAATGTAATCCTGAGTTTAAAATGTAGATGCTTAAAACCCAGGAAATCCAGCTATGGCTCCTAAAGAAACCAAAATTCAGCTTCTTGGGACATATGCAGAGTGTTGTGTCACAGAGCCTGCTTAAAAGATGCATGCAATTTGGAGACCTCACAATTACTTCAAGTGCCACAGACTGAGTTTTCAATGGTTTATGTGCATGCAAGTCCCACGGCGGGTACTTATGTGGGAGTGCCAGCGAGAGCCTGGAGCGCAGGAGATTCTCGGAGGAGACTATGGGTGCACCTAGAGCGGGCTGTGGACGTGATCCCAGGGAAAGGTATCGAAAGCACATTTTCAGTACCATGCATTAACAGCAAAGTATCCTCTGGACAGCTCCTTTCTTTGCTGCCTGGATGCAAGCCACAGCAAAACCTCCAAGAGCCAAATCCCTCAACCTGCGGGTAAGCTAAGAGATGCTACAGCCTCCCTGCTATGAGTGCAGAGTGGCTTGCAGCTCACGATTCAGCACAGCTTTGTCCTTCCAGGGCCTATTAAAGTCAGTATCAGCCAATCTTCAGCAGTCGTATGCTTTTAGTGCTTTCCTGAGAGTCTGCTCAGCAAGACCTGGAACTACACTGGTTTCCCCAACAAGCTACCCACAGCAACAAGCCACGCTGGATTTCTGAGGGCACCAGCAGATCCAACTTGATCCCTGAACTGACCTGACAGTGAAGACAAAGATGGACTTGACAGCAGTGAAAACCCAACACAGGAGTTTTGTCACAACTCTTACTTCACCCGGCA